ATATATATATAACACACATCAGATCCCATACAGGTCTGCCAGGTCCTCTGGCTCAAGGCAATGATGAAATTGATCGTTTGTTAATAGGGAGTGTGTTGGAAGCTTCAGAATTTCACAAGAAACACCATGTTAACAGCAAAGGTTTAAAAAAGGACATTTCTATCACCTGGCAACAAGCCAAGGAAATAGTAAGAAATTGCCCCGCTTGCTCATTCTACAATCAAACTCCATTACCAGCAGGTTGTAATCCCAAAGGTATTTGCAGGAGTGCACTTTGGCAGATGGATGTTCTTCATGTTCCAGAATTTGGCAGTTTGAAGTATATACACCATACCATAGACATGTTCTCAGGCTTCCAATGGGCTACTGCCCTCAGCTCTGAAAAGGATGATTCTGTTATTACACACCTCTTAGAGGTGATGGCTGTTATGGGTATACCTGCACAAATAAAAACTGACAATGCTCCAGCATATGTCTCCAGTAAACTGGAACAGTTTTTCAAATATTATAATATAAAATATGTAACTGGTATACCTTACAATCTCACAGGACAAGCAGTGATTGAAAGATCTAACCAAACCTTAAAAGAGATGCTTCATAAACAGCCAGGGAGAACAAAGACCCCCAATAACAGGTTACATAATGTTTTACTAACATTGAATTTTCTTAATGCTGATGAAAAAGGACAAACTTCTGCAGAAAGACACTGGATTGCAGAGAAGACTTCTGAACTGAACCAACCAGTATATTTTAAGGATGTTATGAACTCAGTCTGGAAACCAGGATATGTGTTAGGTTGGGGAAGGGGTTATGCTTTTGTTTCCACAGGAGAAGAAAAACTTTGGGTTCCATGGAAATTAATCAAGATTCAATCCGAACAGAAGACACCTCAGGAGGAGGAAAGTCATATTCTACCATGGGTAAAGTGACCTCATAAAAGGAAAGAGAAATGTTTTGCTTTTTGTCTTCACAGGAAAACTCAACGAAAAAATACTGGGCATATGGATACCTGAAGAAGAATGAATAGCTACCCTGAGGACCATCAAACAAACAATAACTCACTGTGTGGTATCAAAGTCTAGATCTCTCTATACTGTTTTTTATAATACTCATTTCTCCTTGTTTCTTTCTTTCTTTCTTTCTTTCTTTTTTTTTTTTTTTTTTTTTTTGGTTTTTCGAGACAGGGTTTCTCTGTATTGTTTTCGAGGCTGTCGGTCCAGCCTGGCCTCGAACTCACAGAGATCCACCTGCCTCTGCCTCCTGAGTGCTGGGATTAAAGGCGTGCCCCACCACCGCCCGGCCCTTGTTTCTTAATATGCTTTAGTCCCCATTCATTTAACTGAAGCTGACTTTGAAGTTGGATTGGCTCTCCTACTCTAAGTTAAAGTGTATTGTTTAAATAAAATTCAGAATTTCTGTATTATATCAAAGAGCCATTGATATAAGACAGAAGAAAATAAAATTAACACTGTCATCTGTGTATTTCTTGTTCTGAAAAGTCTAATCTCCTTCATGTTTATCGTCTTCCCTATTGTCACTTTTCCCAGTATGCATATATGTAAGTTAAAAATTTCTTTGTTATCATTAATGTTTGAGTTTTCCAGAGACCAAGAGATTTCCTGACAGAAATATTCAACTGCTTCAGAAGGAGAATGGAGCTCCACTTGACTCTACCTGATTCAACTGGATACATCTGAACTGCCCCACATCATCGACTCCACCTGACAAACACCATCCTGAGACTGGCTTAGAACTATATCACTTAACACAACTCCAGACCAAGGAACTGATACAGTGTACCTTCTACAATCTGGCCAGAGCTTCAGACGAGAGCTTCATTCAACACTAGAACTCCAGTCAGGAACTTCAATCAATCATCTCCTGCCTAACAGTGACAGTCTAATCTACTTAAGATTTTGTTGCACTAACATTTTCTTCTTACAGGTCCCCATGAGATTGTCATCGTCCCATCTCAGCAGGAAGTAGTTTTGAGAATTTCATGCCCCCTCTCCCTACTATTGATATTGTATGATAGTCTACACCTGTTAGTGTTAGTTTTCAATTATTTTAAGGTTGGGATTGGAAGGAGGTGTTCAGACATGGGTATTTCTTTCAGATAAGCTTAGGTTTAGATGGGATAGATGTTTGAGACATTTTGTTCATTGAAACAAGTTAGTTTTGTTTTTAAGTTTAAATATCTTCTTTAGACTAAAAGAGGAATTGTAGGGGGAAACGTAGGACTCCGCCATTAGCCATGTGGCGCACTAGAGGCACATATGGATGTGGTAATGATAGGGCGGTTCACCGTGCCTCTAACCACACCCACTTTGGGTGTAACTAGAGAGGCATTTGGATGTGATAATGAAAGGGTGGTGAATTACGTCACTAGCCAGGCCCACTTTTAGGCGTGGCTAGAGGTGTGTCTGGAGGTTCTCATAAAAGACTGCAGCAGAGCTGCTTGCTCTGTCTTTTTGGCTTCCGGTTTAGTAGCGGAAAGCTACTTGACTCATCTGGGTTGCCCGTTTTCTCGTAATTTCTACAATAAATAGTTACCTGTACCCTCAACAAGTGTGCCGTTTATCGTTACAGCTACAGGTGGTGGTGGCACATGCCTTTAATCCCAGCACTTGGGAGGCAGAGGCAGGTGGATCTCTGTGAGTTCTAGGCCAACCTGGTCTACAAAGTGAGTTCTAGGATAGGCTCCAAAGCCACAGAGAGACCCTGTCTTGAAAAGCCAAAAAAAAAAAAAAGAAAGAAAACAGAAAGCTGGTGAAGATATACTTGAATAAGAGGGCTGTGTTTCAAACTCAACAAGAAGCAGAACTTGGCAGCTTTGGCCACATGCTGACTTTAGAGTCAAGAACAGAATAAACAGGCTATGGAGTTTGCCTCTGCAACTAAGAAAGGCCACTGAGGCCAGATGTGTGTCAGGAGTGTCGCTGAAAGGAGGCCTCGAGAGGCCATTGTGTGAAGCTGTGAAGTTGAACCTTGGATTGCCTTGGAGAACCATAGATGCTGGAGATGCCAGAGCCATAGGATAATTGCTGGGGAAAGACACTAACAGGGAATGGAACCAGCCCAAGAGAAATAAGTAAGTTACAGTCAACAAAACTGAACAGAATTGTTGATCTGAAGAGCATTTTGACGTCAGACATGGAGATGCAGAGTTTGGAGTTTGCCCAGGTGGTTTTTGAGAGACATGGGACTTAGCAGAACTGCAGCAGTAGCACAAAGACCTGAGTAGGATGCAGTCCACTCCTGCTTAGTCAGTGGAATGTGACTGCCTCTGACCTTAGCCCTAGTTACAGGAAAGACCATGAACACCTCCCTGACAGGGAGAGGCCAATCAGAAATGAACAAACGACTCCAGATGTCTTTCTGCTGAGACAAAAATGTTGCAACTTCCCTAGACCCAAAATAGCCAATCAGCTCAGTTCAGATACCCTTGGGCTTGAGCCAATCCCAAGTCTGTAACTATGCAGTTTTGGGATCCCCCAAGCTCCCTACTTGTCTAACCACAATTAAAAAAAAAAAACAAACCCGTCGGGCGTTGGTGGCGCACACCTTTAATCCCAGCACTCGGGAGGCAGAGGCAGGCGGATCTCTGTGAGTTCAAGGCCAGCCTGGTCTCCGTAGTGAGTTCCAGGACAGCCTCCAAAGCCACGGGGGAACCCTGTCTTGTAAAACTAAAAAATAAAATAAAATAAACAAACCCACCCTGTGCTGCCCAAGGTCTCTCCCACTCTGCTACTGCATCAGGTGGACAGAGAGACCCAAGTTAATGCGCAATAAAGCCTCTCTGCTTTTGCATCAGATCAGGTCACTTAGGGGTCTTTTGGGGGGTCCTGATTTTGGACACAACATTTGGGTGCTGGTCCAGGATCCCCAAGCGCACCATAACCACCCTTTGCTAAGCTTGAGGCACCAACGATCAGGTAACATTCTAAATGGACTGGCAAACTCTGTACTCTATTTTCCATTTCTGACTGTTGGAGCTCCTTCTATGAAGCCTGCTTAAGATCTAAGTAGACATGCTGGAGGACCACAGGCTGGAGAACAGGGGATGCCCCAGGACCCTGCTGGTGGGTCAGGGAACCCTTTTGAGGGGGATTGCAGAGACTGAGTGGTCTTGACCACCGTGTCTCACTTTCAGATCTGTACACAGCAGCCTGTTTTGTCTGTTACTGTGTGTGCATCTGTGGTTGTGCTTGTCCTGTTTCTGTGACTGAAACATCCTGAAATAATGGGCCAGATGTCCAGCTGTCCTCCTGAGCCTCTTCCTTGACCATTTTAAAGATTTCATGGACAGTGACCAATGGGTTGAATGGGAACACATAAAGGCCTGCTACTCTAGAACCTCTGTGAATGGGAGTGGCCATCCTTTCAGACTAACTGACCACGGAAGGCACTTTTAACCTGTCTCATTATCAGGACTAAGGGTATCATCTATGGATGGCCTGGATACCCTGCCAGGTTCCCTACATCAAGATCTGGGAGGACCTAGTTGCAGACCCCCCATCTTGTGTAAAGCCATTACTTATAACCAACGTGGGTGGATCCTCAAAAGTGCTCACCTTGGGAGACACCAAAAACTTCCCCCAAGGATTCCAAGCCCTCAGCACCCCCCATTCTCCAAGGTGACTAGAGGAAGACCTCCTATCCCCACCCCCTCTATATCCCCTTTCCCTCCTGTGCAACCCCAGGCTGGGCCCCCTCTCCTGTTATCAACAAACACCCCAGGAGAGGTTAAGCTCATCCCTAGTCCCCCTCATACCCGTGGAAGAAGACTCTGTGGAGCTACTGTCCATAGGACAGACTCAGCTGCCTGAGTTGGTACCATGGGCCTGCCTGAGGATCAAGGCAATGAGGTTTGTCAGTGTCAGTCCTTTGCCACTGCTGACTTACTTGTACAATTGGAAAAGCCAGAGCCCCCTTTTTATGATAACCCTAAGGGTCTTATTAACCTTTTAGATTCTGTCACTTTCACTCCTCAGCCTACATGGGACGACTGCCAGCAGCTCCTTCAGATCCTTTTTACTACAGAAGAAAGGAAACTCATTATTGTTGAGGCCTGGAAGTTGGTTCAGGTGATGCGGGCTTCCACTTGACCCATGGAATTTCAACTCACCAGAGGGTAGGGAGTGCCTCAAGGTCTACTGCCAGGTTCTAGTGAGGGGTCTCTGGGCAGCTGCTAAGCACCCAACTAACATGGCTAAAATGTACAGTGTTCAGCAGGTGATTGATGAATCACCATCAGCCTACCTTGAGAGATTAATGGAGGCTTTTAGGGCGTACCCTCCCATGGACCCTGAGACAGCCGAGCATAGGTTAGCAGTGGTCCTAGCTTTCATCGATCAAGCAGCACCAGATATTAGAAAAAAACTTTAGAAGATACATGATTAGCCAGTAAGTTGATTAATGACTTGATGGAGGCAGCAAATAAAGTATAATAGAGAGGCTCCTGCAAAAGACCAGCAAGACTGGGGGCAGAGGAAAGCGAGAGACAGGAGAGGGTCAGAGCAGTGGAAAGGGAAATGGATCAAAGCGCCACAGCAGCTGCAGATGGGAAACAGACTCACAACATGGTGCGGGTGCTGCCAGCGGCATCGGCTTCTGATCCAGAGGAAAGCGAAAACAACTCCAGTGCCTGGCCCAGATGCAAGGTAAGGCACCCAAGAGAGCAATAAACCAAAGCTGCAAAGGGACTAATGCACCTATTGCAAAGAGATTGAGCACTGGGTTAAGGAATGTCCCAGAAAGAGGGACCGTTAAGAAGCCCCATCATGTCCTGGTGGCTGTATCAGGGGTAGAAAGTGACTGAAGGGAACAAGGTTCAGACCCTCTCTCCAAACCTAGGATAATCCTATGCTTGGAGGAGAAACCTGTCCAATTTATGGTTGATACAGGTGCCCAACATTCAGTTCTGACAGCCATTCTGGGTCTGATATCAAATAAAAAAGCTTGGGTACAGCGGGCTACAGGCATGGACCAATACTCATGTACTACTGAAAAACAGGTAGACCTTGCGATGGGCCAGTGTCCCACTCTTTCCTGGTATGCCCCCTTCTGGGGAGAGATCTACTCACAAAGATGGGAGCGCAGATACGTTTTGACAAGAACAGGGTGACTGTGACTGTGACTGTGACTCAGGGCTGGCACAGGTTTTAACTCTACAGCTAGAAGAATACAGACTCTCAGAATCACCCGCTGACCCCTAGGAGTGGGTCCATGACTGAATCTCCACAGATCGTTGTTGAGAAAGGGAGACCAGGATTCAATAAACAGCAGGCCCCTATCCTGGTAGAACTTAAGCCAGGAGCCATCCCATGTCAGCAGAAGTCCGGGCAGGCATTACCCCACACCTCTGTCACCTGTTTAATCAAGGAATCTTAAAACCTTGTCAGTAACCTGGAACCCCATTGCTCCCCATCAGAAAGTGAAACTCTGAGGATTACCACCTACTCTAGGACCTAAGAGAAGTCAATAACGAGTTATTGATATTCACTCCACAGTGCCAAACCCTTATACATTACTAAACTTATTGTCACCCAGTCTACGATGGTACACTGTGCTAGACTAAGATGCTTTCTTCCACTTACCACTGGCCCCTCAGAGCCAAGCCCACTTCACCTTTGAATGGCATGACCCTGTAAAAGGATTCAATGGACAGCTGACCTGGACCTGACTGCCCCAGGGGTTCAAGAACTCACCCACCATATTCAATGAGGCAATCCATGAGGACCTGGGGGCCTATCAGACTGAACACCCCAGAATCCCTCCTATAGCATATGGATGACCTCCCGAATGCAGCTACCACCAAGGATGACTGTAAGGTAGGGACAGGGACTTGCTTCAGACTCTGGGAACTCTAGGGTATAGGGTTTCAGTCAAAAAGGCACAGATCTGCCAGGAAAAAGTGACATGCCTAGGTTACATTCTAAGTGGAGGGTAGGGCTGGCTATCAGAGGCAGGCAAAGAGACTGTGTTAAAAAATACCTACCCCAACCAATAGAATTCAGGTTAGAGAGTTCCCAGGATTATCTCACTTCTGTTGCCTCTGGATCCCAGGCTGAAATATCTGAAATTTCCAACCCCTTTATGGAGCCATTCGGGAAGGCTGCCCTATGAATGGGCAGGTGAACAAGAGTGAGCATTTGCCCAGATTAAAGCAGCCCATTGTCAGCTTCTGTACTAGGACTCCCTGATATCACAAAGCCATTCTGGCCATATGCAGATGAAAATAAAGGAGTAGCTAAAAAATCCTAACCCAGATGCTTGGGCCATGGTAAAGGACAGTGACTTATCTCTCAAAAAGACAGGACCCTGTTACTTCAGGGTGGCTCCTGTGCTTGAGAATCATAGTGGCCATTGTCTTGCTTGTCAAAGATGTAGATAAGCTCACCCTAGGGCATTAGGCATGACCATACCTCATGTGGTAGAAGAAATCCTCAAGCAGCCTCCTAAGTGCTAGTTGAGCAAAACAAATATGACTCACTACCAGACCCTCCTACTTAGCCACTACTCCCCCCACCCCACTCACCCACCCTGCAAATATGTTTTGCCTCATCAATGGCCCTAAATCTGGTCACCCTGCTCCTTGACCCAGACTTGGATCAACCAGCTCATGGCTGCTTTGAGATACTCAGGCAAGTCCACAGAACCTGGCCTGATCTGAGGGACCAACCAATACCAGATACTGAATTTACCTGGTACACCGATGGGAGCAGTTTCATCAAAGAAGGGAAAAGGTAGGCAGGCAAGGCAGTGCTGATGGAGGGAGAGGACATTTGAGCTGAGGCTCTGCCCCCAGGGACATCGGCCCAGAAGGCAGAACTGATCTGAGAGCAAAAGGCTTAATGTGTATGTACACAGACGGCCACTACGCACTTGCCATGGCACACATAATATATGGTGCTATATATCAAGAGAGGGGGTTCCTGGTGGCTGAGGGAAAGACTCAAAGATAAACAAGAAATCCTAAACTTGCTGAAAGCCCTATGGCTCCTAGCTAAGCTGGCAATCATTCATTTTCTAGGACATAAAAGGGGGGACTCCCGAGCTGCCCGAGGAAATGAGTGGGTGGACAAGGCGGATAAGGTGGCTGTGGAACAAGCTGCCTCAATACTAACTCTAAAGCTGCCGAACTTGGTCCCCACGAGCTGGCAGACAACCTGATACAGACCTTAGAAGATTTTGCCCTCCTCTACAGCCTACCCCAGGCCTGGCTGCCCAAAAGCCCAGAAGGATGGTGGCTAACAGGAAGCAGGAGACTAATCACACCTGCCAAAATGGCAATAGACTTGTTGAGATATATCCACAATGCTACCTACCTGGGCCCAAGAAAGACTGAGAAACTGCTCCAATGGTCTTATCTCAAGGTGTTTGAACTCTGACATAAGGTAGAGCAGGTAGCCTCCAAGTGCCTGGCTTCCCAGCTAACCAGCATCAAGCCCATTGGAGGGCAGACCAGAGTGTGTATGAGAGGAGACATCACTGGGTCTCACCAGGGTGCTGATTACACTGAGGTGAAGGTGGGGAAATACCTTTTCAGGCTGGTTAGAGGCTTTCCCCACCAAACATGAAACTGCCTAGACTGTGGTTTAAAAAAAAGATACTTAAAGACATCATTCCCAGGTATGGTACGGCTCAGACAACAGACTGGCCTTTGCAGCACAGGTAACTCAGGGTATAGCTAGAACACTTGGGGCAGATTGGCGATTGCATTGTGCCTATGGGTTCCAAAGTTCTGACCAGATAGGTGTATGGATCAGAACCTAAATGAGATCCTTACCAATCATGGAAACTGGTAGTGATTGGGTGGCTCTCCTCCCCTTTGCCCTGTGTTGGGTGAGAAACTCCCCTTACACCCTCAGGCTTACACTGTTTGCAGTCATGTTTGAGTGACCCCCTTCCATCCTCCCCAACTTGAGATCTGACTTGCTCGCTAAGTGCAATACTGTTAATTTGCTTGCCTCCTTAATTGCAGCAGCCTTGGTGCTCAAAGACATCTTGCCAAGGTTGCAACAGGTGTATACGATGACTCTGCATCAGTTCCAGCTCAGGGAGACACCAACACAAGACCTTCCTGGAAGGGACCCTATGTGGTGATCCCAGCCACCCCCACTGCAATCAAGGTTGACTGAATCACCACCTGGATACATCACTCCCACACACGCACAACTGATCCAGAATTGATGGAGCCTCCAAAACCAGCCCCAGAAGACATGGGGCCTCGACAGAGGTGGACTGTGAAACCTGACCCCCATATGGTGCACCTTCTACAGTCTGGCCAGAGCTTCAGACAAGAGCTTCAATCAACATTAGAGCTTCAGTCAAGAATTTCAATCAAGCATTTCCTGCCAAACAGAGACTATTTAATCTACTTAAGACTCTTGTTACACTAACATTTTTTTTCTACAGGATCCCATGAGATTGTCATCATCACATTTCACCAAAAAGTAATCTTGAGAATACTACGCCCCCTTTCCCTACTGTTGATATTGTAAAATAGTTTACACCTGTTAGTGTTAGTTTTCAATTATTTAGGGTTGGGATTGGAAGGAGAGGTTCAGACTTGGGCATCTCTTTTTAATAAGTTTAGGATTTAGATGGGATAGATATGCTTAGTATAGGATATAAGTAGACTATAACTTGCTCATCATCTTTTATGTATATATGCTGTATATGTTTGAGCTTTGTATCAAGTCTAAATCTTTTATTTAGACTAAAAGGGGAATTGTAGGGGAGAGTCCACAATACTGTCCATGCCCCAAAGGGGCGTGTACAGGGGTACATGGGATAGGCGAGAGATAAAAGGAAAAAGAGAAAGTAAATCTCTCTCTCTCTCTTGGATCCTGGCCACTGCGGGGACCATAGAGCTCCTCCCAGTAAGTGATTTCTATATTCAATAAAGTATCCTGGACCTCCTTTTCAGGTAGCCTTGTTTCCTGTTTCGCTAGACACACCCTTCTTTGCCACTACATTGCCTACTCCATCCAGACTAAGACCAGGACCCCTCTTGGGGTTGCTGGAGGCCTCCTATTGGGTCCTAATGCTACTAAACCAGACCTCACCCACTCTTGTTGTCAGTGTCTTGATACCAAACCTTCCTATTTGTAGGAATAGCCATAAGGGAAACTACACAGAATCTAACCAACCCTCTCAATGTCGTTGGCAACGATAGGGGGAAGCCAGGCTTACGTTACAGTCAGTCAAGGGATTTGGCTTCTGCCTAGGGACCATACCTGATGCCTATAAACCTCTAGGCAACCAGGTGGTCCAGATACCCCCTCACGGGCATCTCTTGCCCCCCCCCCAGGATGGTAGGTGTACATGCTCCTCTGGGCTGGCCCCCTGTGTTCATGGGCAAGTACTAAGTCAGACAAAGGACTTTTGTATACTAGTATGCCTGGTCCCAAAGATAATTTATCACACAGACAGATACACCAAAGTTTAAAGGGATTCCTGACCCGACTGAAAAGGGAACCTATAATTCCCTCACATTAGGTGTCCTCCTGACTGGGATGTCATCTCTGACAAAGCAAGGCAAATATTACAATTACTGCCATCAACCTAGACATAGAAAAGCTAGAAGACTCCATTGCCCACTCACAGTATTCTCTGACTTCCCTGGCTGAAGTAGTGCTGCAAAATAAACAGGGATTGGATCTTGTATCTTTATAACAAGGCAGGCTTTGTGCACCTTAGGAGAACAATGATGCTTTTGTGTTGATCATTCAGAGGTAGTAAAGGAATCACTTACCAGACTTAGGGAGGGACTAGCAAAAAAAAAAAAGGGGAACGTGGACAATCTTGAGGCTTCTTTGAATCTCTGTTTAACGGCTCTCTGTGGTTGACTACCTTAGTCTCCACACTGCTAGGGTCTCTGCTAATTCTAGTATTCTTACTCAATTTGGGGTCCTGTATCCTCAGTAAGCTGCTTGCCTTCATTAGGGAAAGGATTGACACAGTGTAGTTAATGGTGCTACATTCTCAATACATCCCATCAGAGACCCTCAGAGAGAACCTATGATCGGGTCCTCTAGAGTTACTTCTAGAGGGGGAAATGAGAGACCCAGGCCTTAGCAGAACTGCAGCCATAGCATAAAGATCTGAGCAGGATGCAGCCCCCACCAGTCATTGGGACATGAATGGCCCTGATCTTAGCTCTAGTTACAGGAAACACCATGAACACCTCCCCCACATGGAGAGGCCAATGGACAAATTACACCAGCTGTCCTTCTGCTGAGACTAAGATGCTGCAGCTTCCCTGGACCAAAATAGCCAATCAGCTCAGTCCAGATACCGGTAACTAGGACTTGAGCCAATCCCGAGTCTGTAACTATGTAGCTTTGGAATCCTCCCAACCCACCTCCTTGTCTAACCACAATAAAAGCCCCATCTGGTGCTGCTGGAGGTCTTTCCTGCTCTGCTACTACATGAGATGGACAGAGAGGCCTGTTAACTCACAAAAGAGACTCTCTGCTTTTATCATATCAGGTCACTTGGGAGGTCTTTTGGGGTCCAGACTTTGGGCACAACAATTTTCAGTCTTGCTGTGGTCCAGTATTTCCTCACTATGCTCCTTTCCCTACGCTTTGGAATGATAATGTAGATTTGCTTTCTGCTTTTGATTTTATAGGGTATTATTGTAAGAGATTGCATGACTCTCAGAAGAGGCTTTGACTTTAGACTTTTAAATGAGTTTGAGACGTGGGGATTTTTGAACTTGGACTGAATGCATTTTTTAAAATAAATTTTTATTTAGATTAAAATCAATCTTATTTTACATGCCAATACCAGTTCCCTCTTCCTCCCATCTCCCATGCTTCCCACAGACCCCCACCCCACTTCCCATTCACTCCTCAGGGACAGTGAGGTCTCCCATGGGGGAATCATCAAAGTCTGTCACATCATTTGGGAAGTGACCTAGGCCCTCCTCTGTGTATCTAGGCTGGGAAAGTATCCCTCCATAGGGAATGGGCTCCCAAAGTCCATTCCTGTACTAGGGATAAATACTGGTTCCATTGCCAGAGGCCCCATAGACTGCCTAGGACCCCCAACTGACACCCACGTTCAGGAGGCCTGGTTCGGTCCCTAAATGCCTTTTTGCATTATGATATGGATATAAGCCTTTGAGGGCCAGGGAGTAGAATGTGGTGATTTGAAAGAAAATGCCCACCAAAGGGAGTGGCACTATTAGGAGATGTGGCTTTGTTGGACTGGGTATGGCCTTGTTGAAGGAAGTGTGTCACTGTAAGGTGACCTTTAGGGTACCATATGTGCTCAAGCCACACCCAGTGTCTCAGGCTACTTCCTGTTGCCTACTGATCAAGATGCAGAAATTTCAGCTCTTTCCCCAGGACCATGTCTGACTGCATGTCACCACGTCCCATGATAATAATGGACTAAATGTCTGAAACTGTGAGACACCCCAATTAAATATTTTCTTTTAGAAGAGTTGCTATGTTCATGATGTCTCTTCACAGCAATAGACACAGTAACTAAGACACCATCTCTCCAGCCCCCTTTACAATGACACTTTCTAAAAAAAATTTATTTATGTATACAGTGATCTATCTACATGTACACCTGCAGGCCAGAAGAGGGCACCAGATCTCATTACAGATGGTTGTGAGCCATCATGTGGTTGCTAGGAATTGAAGTCAGGACCTTTGGAAGAGCAAGCAGTGCTCCTAACTGCTGAGTCATCTCTCCAGCCCCCTAGAATGACATTTTAAAAGAAAAATTTTGGGGACAGTCTCAATGTGTAGCCCTAGTTCACCTAAAATTCACTATGCCCTCAAACTCAACAGAAATTTGCCTGCCTCTACCTACAGAATGCTGGGATTAAAATTATGTGCCACTACACCAACATAGAAGGAAATTTTTTCCTAAGTATGATTTGTAGTTTCATCCTACGATTTATTGATACAAACATCAGGTTAGTATAGTGAATATAGTTAACAAATAGCTGGGCAATGGTAGCACACACCTTTAATTCCAGGAGGCAGAGGTAGGTGGATTTCTGAGTTTGAGGCCAGCCTGGCCTACAGATGGAGTTTCAGTACAGCCAGAGCTACACAGCGGAGCCTTTTCTTGAAAAAAACAAACAAAGAGAATGGATGGAAAGTATTCATTTTAGAATTTGAAACTCAGGACATCTATATAATATTGAAGTTCAGGACATGGGAAGGCCTCTTTCCCCTAGCCCAGCATAGTAAAATTCAAGACATTTACAGTGTTCAATTTTACCAATTTAATAGAAAATGAAAAGAATGTTGTAAAACCATTTACATCCTGCTGTTCCCAAGTGGAGTCATTAAACCATGATGTATATTAAAAGTTATTTTTAGTATGTGATTGAGTTGAAAAAGACTTGAAGGGCCAGCCAGGCGGTAGTGGTGCACACCTTAAATCCCAGAACTCAGGAGGCAGAAGCAGGGAGATCTCTGCGAGTTTGAGACCAGCCTGCTCTACTAGAGCTAGCTCCAGGACAGCCTCCAAAGCCACAGAGAAACCCTGTCTCAAAAAAGAAAACAAAAGAATAAGTAGGAGAAGGAATCTAGGAGGGAAGACATCAAGGGAAAGAGAGAGGGAGATGCCTGGGGCCAGACAGCCACCCACCAGCCAGACACAGAGGAAGAAGAAAAGTAGGACACACAGAATGAAAGATAAAAATGCAGATGAAGAGAAACAGGTTAAATTAAGTTATAGGAGCCAGTGGGACACGCGTAAGATAGACCGAGCATTCTAACTAATAGTCTGTGTCATGATTTTGGGGTTGGTGTTCTGAGAAAACCTGATATATAGACAGGGTTTCTCTCTGTAGCCTTGGCTGTCCTGGAACTTACTACTTCGTTGGAGAGTATTTCTCAGTAATGCTGACACCATCAAAATAGCAGTGTGACAGATGGCAGACAACTAATTCCTATGCTACTTCTCCCTCTAGCAACTTGAGGAAGTTTGAATAAGATGTGTCTATGCCTCAGTTTCCTAATATGAACTGCAGACAGCAACGTTATCTACCTGTAAATGTGATAATGAATTAATTCGCATATACACTAGAAAATCCACTTGAAGAACACTGGGTGTGGTGGCACTTATCTATAACCCCAGCAATTGGGAGAGCTGAGGCAGAGGGATAAGTATTTTCAAGGCTAGCCTGGTCTACATAGTGAAATTTGTCTCAGACCAAACAACCAATGACCAAATTAACCACAATAACAAAAACTTGGAGAAATCTAATTGTGTTTGTTGTGAAGGTTAAATCAGTGTATACAAAACATTCCAGAAGTGTCTATGCATTCTGTAACTATTAGCTGGTCTTATACATTTACGCAGAGGCACTATGGAATGTATTAGATACCTGTATCTACATACATGTCTTCCAAATTTATCCTTTTTAAACAACAAATATTTAGGTTCCAAGTAGAGCTCAGAGTCTGAGAGGCTGAATGTATAGAGGACTCTCCATTTTTACTTCAATAACACACATAGACACCCACCCACCCCATCCTACCCCACTCCTGCAAAAAAAATCCTAAAAATAGAGCAGTAAACACTTTATCATCTCACAGATTCTGTGGTCCAGGGATGCAGGGACAGTTCAGCTGATGAGATGAGATGTCACTGGGGACTGCAGTCATCTGAAGACTTGGCAGAGACCAGAAACTCTGTTCCTAAGCTGGCTCATTCACATTGCTGTTACTAGGAGGCCTCAAACCCAACAGGCTGTGTCTCCTTCTCACAGCATAGATCTAGATCTCTCCATAGGGCTGCTGGACTAGCTGGCTTGCCCCATAATGAGTGACCCATGAGGGAACAAGGAAGATACTACAATGCCTTCTATGACCTACCCTCAAAAGTCACAATCCATCATTTCTGCCACATTCTATACATCAGAAGCAAATGCAGAGTGCTCAAAG